ACCCCAGGCTGAGCTGTGCGGCAGTGCTGTTGCCTTGTGGGCACAGAGCGGTACTGCAGCTGTGCTCCTAGCCAGGTGGGACCGGGCGGGGCCGAGCCCAGCCGAAGCGTGCGGGCCCGAACCGAGCCGAAGCGGGCTGGAAAGAGCCGAACTGAGCGGAGCTGCGTCGGGACCCCACCCCGCAGGAGCCGGCCGGGAGGACCCCAGCAGAGGCGTTGACTCCAATGCCTGCCGCCGCAGGCGGGGCCGCCACCCAGCTACGGAGCCACTGAGCCCCGCTGCCATCATCCTCGCCCCGGGAAAGGCGGCGGAAAATCGGGCGGAGTGCTCGGAATCGGTCGGCGTCGGCAGGTTTTTCGTTCACACAAGTTAGACGTGCTGAGAGCAGCGGGGGCCTTAATTGTGCCATAACAAAGCTGGCCGCTCAGCCGGAAGTGGCTTCAGCCACAACAAAGATGGTGGCGAGGAAGGGCGGAAGTGATGTCATGACACACACAGGATGGCTGCCCGGTCGTGGCTGGCTTGACCTTCCAAGGATGGCGGCCAAAAAGGCGGGAAAATGGAAGGACCCTGGGCAGTGGGTGCATGCTTTCGACTGCCTGACAAACACCCCGGCGCCGACGCCGCTCCGGTGCAATTTTCCATGGCTTTTCTGGCCGTGCGGACACGGGCTGTGCGCTCGGCAGTGCCCGGGCCAGGCGCGAGCCGGTCGGGCACCGACAGGCAGCGGTGAAGACGCCTCTCTCTGCCGGGGTCCTTGCCGCGGCCGTGTTCTGGGGCTTCTGGCACTCGTGACGACCCGTACGTTGCTGCCGCTCCTCTCGCTCCGTTCTCTCCCCCACGGCCCGGGGAAATGGCGGAAACCCCAATGGCATCGGGACCGAACGGTCGCTCCCCGGCCCTGGGACCGAAGCAGCCCGAGGAGGCGGCTGCTCTGTGTGCCGGAACAGTGAGAGCGGCGGGTGGGGCGGGGGCAGGTTAGCAACCGAGTATATACCTGTAAGTATAAAGATGATCACAATAGATATTAAAAAATATTGAAGATAAAGGGGCTGCTTGGTTTTTATTTAGTTAGAGGCAGGGCTTTTAAATAAATAAGAAAAATACAAATAAATAAAATATTTAAAGAATGAATATATAAAGGTATAGAGAAATATATATATATAGACATATATATATATATGTAGGTGTAAAAATAAGTAATAGCAATATATACATATATATTGATTTATAATCTATAATATGATTTCTGTACGTATAGATGGTAATATGATATCTTTTAGGATATGTTATGTGTTATGTATATCAACAAGGTATATAAATATGATAAAAATTGTATATTAAAATATTTTTAAATACCGTTTAAGATAAAGGGACTGTTTGGTTTTTATTAGGTTAGCTTCGGGGCTTTTAAATAAATACAACAAAAATAAAAACATAGAAATGTATATTAAATATATAAAGATATAGACATACGTGCAACCAGAAAAGTAAAGATATATAAGTAATGCCAATATATACAAACAGATTTATATTTAATATATATTATTTATATTTATTTAATATATGTATTATATATATAATAAATATATATCATTAAAATGTATATAATATATTTAATATATAATAACATACGTATACATGTTAAAATAATATATTTTGATACTTTATATATTGCTTGTCATATATAAATGAATATAGTATATAAATTTAAACATGTGTGGTGGAAATAGATGTTAATTTGTTTTTTTTAAATTTTCATTGTTTTGATATGTTTCTCGGAGGCAATCCTCCCCTTGCAGCTGCTGACAGCACTGAAAACCTGTGTGCTTCGTGGTGTCTATTGCCCAGCTGTCTACAATTCCATTGTGTTTGGTGCATTAAGTCACACCCAGCTGTGTGGGATGGCAGGTGAGCACATTGCCCGACCCTTTTAGCTTTTCTGGCTCATGCACAACTTCCTTTCCTTTTGGATATGGAAAACAGGGAAGAGAGGGTAGTGTGACATTAGCACTAATTTCTAGCAGATTTTTAACTGCCCCTGATGCTCGTTCATCTTTGCAGTGTGGGTTTTCATGCTGACAAATCCTCTGCTTTGCCTTCTGCTCACAGTCAGCTGGGCCCTTTATTGAACAGATTTATCTGCTACAAGGCTACGCAGAAGGATGGAAAGGAGGAACACAGGGGGAAAAAAAATAGATTCAAGGCCGTGCATTGATCATCTGATGTACTCTAGAGACAAACGTGGCTATCAGGGGTAAAATGGAGCAGCCCTTCTGGCCTTTTCAGTTGTATTCAGAGAGATGTTTGTCTTCTGTGAATATCTGGGTGCTTGGAGTTCACTCTGATTTCAACAAGCCCATCAATAATAAAACATTGTATTGATAGAACAA